GTAGTCCTTACCTCATCCGTTTGCTTCCTTGGGTCATTCTTTCTGTGTTGGCTGTTTTTTTTTTCCATTGTGAATTTCTGTTCCTCTTTTAGGAAGCTCACGACTTTTCTTGCATTCTAGCAGTTTCCCGGCATTTTCTTCCGAATTGTTTTCTGAGATGTGCTCTTCCTTTGAGCCTCCAGGATGGCACATACTCACCCTGGTTCCACATGCTTTTCCCGCCTTCCTTTACTCATTCCTGAACAAGGCTCATTCTTTCTGTGTTGGCTGTCTACCAGCAGAATTTCCTTCCTTTTTGAGCAGAGTGCATGCATGTAGACTGCCGCTGGCCGTGGCACCTTGATGGAGGGGTAAATCCTTCCCTCAGTTGCTTGCCAGGAGCTCCGTGATGGGCACATCTCCCAGTCCACTTCCTGTTTGCAGACTGGCTCTCCCTTGAGCACTGCTGTTGTACTGCCTGGTTCTCTGATATTCTGATTGATGAGGGGCCTTGGACCCCACCGTGCTGAGTGCAGGAAGCTGCTTCCAGTCACCTCACAGGAGCCCTTGGCCCAGCAGGCCCGGGGCCAGCACTAACCACATCCCTTCGTCCTCTCTCCTGCTTTCTTCTCTATTGATCTTCCCTCCTTCCCTGTGTGTCTCACGCTCACAGCCCCTCGGGTGCGAAGATCCGCTTCCCACGTCCACCCCTCTTTCTGAGCCAGACAGGGACGGGGGCCTACTCTTTGTAGTTGGTGAGCACATTCCTCGGTGTCTCACTTGGGCACTGTGAACTTCCTATTTCTTCTTGGGACTCCCTCCCCAGTTGGTTTCTGTGACTCTGATTCCAGGACTCACATTCATCCCTTCCCCACCATGTAGCCCCTGAGTCTGAGCCATGGGCTGGGTTGGAGCAGAAAAGAATGAAGAGCTGGTTCTTGCCTTCGAGGATCCTGGAGAGGGGCCCCAGGGTCTGCACGCACTGGAGGAGGGCACTAGGGCAGGGCATGGGGTCCAAGGAGTAGCAGGGAGACTTCTCCCATCATATAAGTGAGAACATGCTCCAAGGTTCAGCTCTTCCTCCTTCTCCATGAACCCTGAGCCGAGCCCCAGGATTTCTCGGCCATCCCCACGCAGGTGCTCCAGCTCCATGTGCTAAGGGCCAGACTCACCCCGGTTGCTCAACAGTCACTCTGAACCTAAGTATAAAGCCAGGACATCTAGCACGCCCTCCCAATCCTACTCCCACCGCAACTGATCTTGGCTGGGTTACTCGTCCTGGTTGCCTTGTTCCCTGAGGAATCAACTTCTACTTTCTCCCAGGCCCCCCACCTCTCATCAGTCACCCAGGCTTATGCTGCTTCCTACTTGACATCCCTCTGCTCTGGGTGAGCCCTTTCTCTCCTTTCCCACTGCCAGGCAAATTCCGTATTTTCTGAGAAGCCTCCCCCGGGCCTGCCCAGCTCTGGGTTCTGAAAGCTCTTATTGTCTGTCAGTTTATCACTTGGCACTTAGTGTAGACTCCCTTGTTAGTTATATCTCCTTTTTTTTTTTTTCACTGTGTTTGTGACTTATCTTCCCCATGTCGGATGCCCAGTCTTTTGTATTGTGCTTGCCCGCATTGCCCACAGCATTCAGGAAACGGGGGTCAGTGACTGTTAGTTACCATCAGTAACTTGGGGCTGCTTATCAGGAGTTGGGGGTCTTTGAGGTCCTGCACCCTGGAGACTGCACCAGCTCGTGAATAATTCTTCCCTCCGTGACTGTGAAGCAGTTAGAAAAAGTGAGTCATCGCCATGCCCAGATGTTCTTCCTTATTAATAATCTTTATGAGACAACACGATTTGTTCTGTAGAAGATATTGGCTTTGCCCTGGCTGGTTGTTCAGTGGTTAGAGCATTGGCCTGCAGACCGAAGAGTCACAGGTTCAATTCCCAGGGCACGTGTGGGAGGCAACCAGTCAATGTGTCTCACATTGATTTCTCTCTTCTCTCTCTCTCTCTCTCTCTCTCTCTCTCTCCCCCCCCACCCCCCGCCCTCTCTCTTTCTGCCTCTTCTTCCTCTCTTCCACTCTCTCTCTGAAGATCAATGGAAAAAATTTTCTTGGGTGAAGATTAACCAAAAAAAGAGGAAGAGACGGGCCTCTAGTGACCCTGGCCTGCGTGTGTGTATTTAAGTTTTCTACTCAGCTGCAACAAAGACTAAGAACAAGAACAAGAGGGTGGGTTGCAGCTGATGCCTTTAAACCCCAGAAAATGGAGCTCCGTGGAAATGATTGTGTCTTTTTGCTTTCGGATTTCCTACTGCTTCTCATTTGCTCGCATGGCCCCATATGTGGAAACCTACCTGTTTGCAGAAACCGAGAAAGGGAGAACAACTCATGCTTCTCACAGCGACTCTAATGATAGACGACGATCCATCAAGCAAAAGAAGAGTGACTTCCTCATTCAGAACCTGGGGTAACCCCAATGGTAACCCCCTAGATTGCATTTGCAAGTCGTACACACCCCGACGTAACTTTGGTTAGAAGCGAACGCCCACAGGGCTGGTTGGTGCTGCTTGGTGCAGGTCGGAGCAGTTTAGCCTCATGGATAATAGTGGCCAGAAAGGTCCCTTGCCCTTGGCTGGAGGCCACAATGGGAACTGCCTCAGTTTCCCTGAGATGGGACCATAGTGAGCCCTGCTACGGATGCCCCGACCTCGTTTTCTAGTCTTCTTCATCACTGCACTCACCCAGGGGCAGGGCGCGCACGGTTCACCTTCCCTGGAGACCCTGCCCCTGTGCATCTCATGAGGTGGCTCACATCTCCATCTTTAATCACAAAAACAATATGTAATTATATATGTGTTTTCCGATGGTCTTAGGTGACCCCTGTGAAAAGGGTCGTTCAACCCCCAAAGGGGTCGCGACCCACAGGTTGAGAACCACTGATCTAAACGAACGTGTATGTGTGCCCATGTGTGCGCAGGGCGCGCACGTGTGAGTTTGTGTGTGTGTGTGTGTAGTGAAACACACATAACAAAAAATGTACCAGTGTAACCATTTTCAGTAGCTTTAAAAACATTGACCTTGTGCAACCATCATCACCGTCCATTTCCAGGGCCTTTTCATCTTGCAAAACCGAAACTCCGCATCCGTTAAACAGTAACTCCCCATTGCCCCCCCCACCCTGCCCCCCAGCACCTGGCAGCCACCATTCTACTTTCTATGTCTATGAGCCTGACTATTCTAGGAACCTCACAGAAGTGGATTCATACAGTGTTTGTGGTTTTGTGACTGGCTTCTTTTTATTTCGCATAATGCCCTCAAGGTTCATTCATGTTGTAGCATGTGTCAGAATTTCCTTCCTTTTTGAGGCTGAATAATGCCCCATTGTGTGTGTGTGTGCGTGTGTGCGTGTGTGTGTGTGTATGTGTGTGTGTATCACATTTTGTTTATCATTCACCCATCAGTAGACACTCAGGTTGTTTCTACCCCTTGGCTATTGTTAATAATGCTGCCATAAACGGAGGTGTGCAGATATATCTGTTCGAGTCCCTGCGCTCATATCTCTTGGGTATATACCCAGACGTACCCTGCTGGATCATATGGCGATTCTATGTTTAATTTTTTAGGAGCTGCCATACAGTTTCCATAGCAGCTGGACCACGTTACATTCCCACCAGCAGGAGTTCCAGCGTTTCATGTCCTCGCGAGCACTTGTTTTTTTCTGGTTTTTTGATAGCCCTTCCGCTGGGTGTGAGTAACATGTCATTGTGCTTGGCATTTTCCTAGTGGTTAGCGAATCGGAGCATCTTTCCACGTGCTCATTGGCCATTTGTAGATCTTTGGAGAACAGTCCTTGGCCTGCTCCTAATTAGGTTGTAGGATTGTAAGTGGTTGCTGAGCCTAAACTATTTTGTGCCCAGGAAGCAGCAGCTCTCGTCTTCAGTCGCTGCTGATAGCCACAACACAGCCAGCCCTTACTGAGCCCTCACATCCCCTCGCACGGTACTGAGTGTTTGTATGGATTTCCCCCCTTTATCCTCACAGCCACCTGTTGAGACTATGTTGTGATCATCTCCGTTTTACCCTTGAAGGAACCACAGTGTGGAGGCCTTGCTCCCCGTATCACAGCTGCTGAATCAACAGGGTGTGACCCAGATCGGACTGGTCTCCAGGGGAGGGCACAGAATTCCTAGCCCCACCCACCCAGGGAGCTGGCATTGAAACAGCTTCTTCAGTCAGCAGTTCATCCACACACACGTTTGAGAGAAGTGATTTGATAGGCAACCACCCCGGCCTCAGGACCTGGGTCCCCACAGAAAATCCCATTTTCTTCCATATAGAGAATCACTTCCTAAAACCCCACAGAAACGTGGGGCATTTGAAGTGCTAAACCCTCAGCTGCTCAGAAAACGCTTTCTCAATGGAACGATGTGACGCGTTCACCAAGGACCCAAGTCCCCACCTAAGCTCATTTCGTGGGAGGAGGCAGCATTGTTCTCAGGGTCCAATCCTTTCCCCACTTGCAACTAACAGCTTTGTGGTCAGCAGCCCTTTTTCATCTGAGATGCACAGCGTCTCTCGCCCGCAGCCTGTCCGGATTTGGAAGTGGGGAGGGAGAGGGAAGGCAGGGGGCCCTCATCGTACCCCTCTGGGCGCCAGCTCCCCGGCCCTGGGAAGATCTAATGCAGGCTTCTTTGGGGATCATTCTCTGTTCCTTTTATGTTGGGTCTTATCTGGCCTTGGGTTCACACAGCCTGGGCCGGGGCCGGGGCCCGGGCCAGAGGCCTGACTTCGGGCTGGGAAGAAGCTGGCAGAACATTCCCCAGCAGGGCTTGGGCAGGCCCAGGGAGTCCCGCCTAAACTGCAGTGGACAAAGGCGCCCTTGTCCGCAGGCCTGGGGGTGGGAGGCATCTGGTCAGTGACACAGGCTTGGCCATTGTATGTCGTGACCTCAGCCAACTTTTTTTAGCTGAGAAAGGGGAAAAAGAGAGAGAGTGTTAAAAAAAGGGGGGGGTGGAGAAAGAACTCCCCGAGAAGCTGCATCTGGAAAGTCCGGCGGCGATGACTTCCCACAAGGGCTGGAGCGGATTTGGAAGGAACTGTGCAATGTAGCGGGTTCTTTGTGAAAGAGAGGCCCCGAGAGAAGCCACAGGAACATCCTCCGGGTGCCCGGAGCCCTGACCCGGGGAGCCCCTCGCTTCAGCCTCATTTCCCGCAGAGGGTGCCATGCGGAGGCGGCTGGCGGGGGCCTGGCCCTGAGTCCGGGGACTTCAGACGGGACCCAGCCTCTCCTCCGAGTAACAGCCCCCAAGGAGATGAGTTGTCCTCTGATGGTAAGAACTGGCCCTGCTAGCCTGCCCATGTGTGGGCTCAGCTTGCTTTTCTTCTGCGTGTTTCCAAAATGACTTGGACGTTTTATGGAGGCAGCTCTGACAACCTTGAGCTGTGAGCTCCAACTGTGAAACTTAGAGGGCCTGGGGGCCCTGAGTGCTGGGGGCGCCTTTCACGGGCCCCACGCATGAGCAGGGAGGAAAGCATGCTGGGCCGTTGTGAGGGAAGTCCGGAGAAGAGGAGGGGAGGAGGACAGAGATGGAAAGAGGGATGTCCATGGCGGGGAAGGGAGTCTCAGCTCCCCCAGTTCCCCGAGCAGCAAAGTGGCTGCTTGGATTTCTCTTGCGGGGATTGCAGTCCACCTGTCACCGCCCCGTTTAACTTTCCCACATACAAAGCTTGGCTTACAGCCACCTACCCACCTGCCTTCTACCCCATGGCCCAGTTCTAGCCGGGACACCACAGGGTGAAAGCCCATCAGGGGACATAGCTTTTCCGGAAGGTAGTGGAGTATCTGTCCCGGAGACCCAGTGTCCCCATGGTGGTTCCAGGCTGGGCTGGATGCTTGTGTCCAGTGGATGGCGGCGGCAGTGGCCATAATGGAAATAATGGATGCTGTCCTGAGACTCGGGTAGACCTTCCTGCTCCTGGAAGGTAGCCACCACCTTCTTTGGGAAGTGGGCCCTCTCATCAGCCTAGATCTCCGTGAGCACCGCCCTGAGGCTCTGGCAGCTGGAGAGGTTCAGTTTCCATGGGAAGGCTCGTCCATGTCCACACCTCCCTCCGGAACACTCTCTTCCCCACTCGGCTTCTGATGGGGCCCGAACCGGTGCCAGAGAAGGCGACGGTGCTCGTCACCAAGGTGCAGCCACTGATTGGCGCAGTTCACCTCCTAGAAAGTCCACAGCACAGCTGCCCAGCAGTCAGGGCACATCTAAGTCGTCCCCAGGGCAGGGCCTGGGACTCTGCATTTATAATCAGCTCCAAGGCTGCTCACGCGGGGACACACCTGAAAGATGGCAGTAAAGGCCCCAGACCGATCAGCCAGGACCTGGGGGGCTTTGGGGGCTTGTGGGAAGAGGGATTCACAGAGAAGATGGACACTAGGGATATTCAGAGAGCGGGGAAGGGCCTGGGCAAGGCTCCTGGCAGAGTGGGTCAGGCAGACTCGGAGGTGTGTGGGTTTGGGTGTGGGCGGTCGGCACTGTGCCCACGCGTAAGAGGACTGTGATCGGGGTGCAGGGCGCGTGGTGGACAGAAGGGCTGACAGCCAGCAGGCCCGGAGCCATCCGCTGGCGCCTGCCTGGGCCTCGGGGCAAATTCCAGCTGCAGATCCAGGGGAGCCCGGGATGCCAGGCAGACAGCGGAGGGCTGGCACACAGAGCTCCGCTGAGTGCGGC